AAAACAGTAAATCTTGTTGAATCCATTTTCTACTATTCAAAAATTACATGATGACATAACTTATTAGTTTCAACATTTTTTTAAATAAGCTGAGAGAGAAATATCATTTGATTCGCTAAGAGACCTTAAAATTTACTTTATAAAAATAAATAAATTTTGAAAAATGGCTTACGAATGAATGCCACGTAAACTTGATTTTGTTTTCTGATTTAAGGTATTTTAATTGAAAATCTCAGTTTCATAAGTATTTTATAATAAAAAAATTGTACATTATATATTCATATTTTGTAAAATACCTCATTTTTATATTGATTCCTATAGAAATAATAAAAAAAAAAAATTCAACCCCTTATTCAAAATTCCTGAGCACGCCTCTGTATGTATATATTATATTGTGTACACATGTAGGAAATTATGATAAACGCTGTACACACAAATATGTGTATCGTAGCAGAATTCGCGACGGTGATCAACGGTCGGTGTAAATGCTTTCACGGCGATCATTTACCAAACGCCGTCAATCGCGCACCCGTAAGCCATTTCGTGTAATAATGCGTTTATAAATATCGAAAATATTTCATAATAATGTTACGGAGTATGTACGCGCCCAGAGGCCATCGCGATAAATAAATTGAGGATATGGGCAGAAGGAGAAGCGATGCGTGTTCTAGCTGGGGGCCTCCGCGGTGGCTGCAGCGATTTCACTTCACACCCGACTACGTCGTCGTCGCCCGGCAACGTCAAAATTCAACGGTTTGGAACCGAAGGGAAATTTTTTTATTTTAATTAAAACATAATTCATTTCGTTTTCTCTCTTCCTATTTCTAATATAGCGATAATTTAAATCATTTAACCATTCTCGTTATGCCAACATCGGAATCACGTTTATTGACAACGGAATCCTCTTATTGCAAGGGGTAATCAAACTAGTTATGATTGACTTACACTATTTTTTCAGTTCAGTTTTTAATATTATCAATACATATATATATATATATATATATATATATGTTAAGCTTATACGTAAGTATACTATTGAAACAATATTTTCTTTTTCAGCTGTTTAAAAACACTTTGTTATAGTATACTATTGTAAATAATTTTCATGAGTTTCACTTTTGATGGGGATCAACATATTTTTCGAGAACTGTTTAAAAAAAAAATGTAATACACTATAGGTACTATAGAATATTAACTACAGTAGTCGGGTCAGTAGTGTACAAAAAACACTTTTTTATTTATTATTGCAGTACGCACCTAGAAGTTTAATTAAAACATCTATTCTCAACATATTTTTTGGTGCCAATGGTGCTTTTGCATCAACTATTTCTTTTACAATAATAATAATAATCTGATTTTCAGATCAGATTCATTAAAGTTTTTTTTAACATTTTTATAAAAATGATTATTGTACCTGGACTTTGTACTGTACTTGCGAGTATAATATTTTAAACGGTTTTGCTAACGATTGTGTGTTGATGACGATGTTTTTACCGAACTGTGTTATTATCATTTCCAATATTATTTGAATCGGTTATCAGCGGTATTGATGCCAAATCACACGAGTGTTTTCCACGATAGTAATCTGTTAGCGATCGTATGTTTATCAATTATCAACCAACTGTATGTAGATTATATTTTATTTACCGATCGTGATGGAACACGTTAACTGGATACGTTTTTATAGGAATATTCATGCAATAAATTTCGAAATAAAATCCCATTCCATTTCGAATCTTGTCCATAACTATCATGTAAAAATTACAATTATTTACATTATTATGTATAATTTACAATTTTTTATTTTTATTTATTTTTTTTTATAGTTTTATTAATCAATAAAAAAATCATTTTTTTATTTTCTTGTAATCTGTAAAGTAATCTGTTGGAAAATAAACCGTATTAATCATCGTGTACATTATAATATTATGAATGTTACTCAGAGAACTTGTAAGTGGATTTTTATGCACAAGTCGTTTGTTAAAAATTGTATTACAGAAATGCGTGCTTTTAAATTTCAAAAATTGACTACGAGTACTAAACAACTTTTCACGCACATCAAGTACGCGGTACTCGTATATAGCTTCTGTACAGTTCATCGATTGATCATTATAATATTATGTTCTGTATATTATGTGCATTGTTTTATCACGTACGGCGGTCGTACAACTCGTACAAATTTACGATAAAACGCAAATCGTGGACCAACTAGAGATAATTTATATATATCAACGCTCCGATTGTTTTTATTATTTTTTCAGGGAAAACTTTTCATTTAAATGTTTATTGCACGCCATAAATCTAGAATGCACAAAATAATATTCTCGGTATCATTTTCACTAGATGGGAAAACGCCTAAACACGAGTTTCTGTGAATTGCTTCGTCAATATAATATACACGATGACACTCTTTGTGACACTTCTACGTATTATTATATCTTTATCAATTTAATAACATTCGATGTTTGTTTTTTTTTTTTTTGTACAAAAGTGATTTTGTACACTATAAGTTTCAGGAATTTCAACATTTCAATTTAAAAATGAGTTTTATTTTAAAAGTTTAAACAAATACTATTAACGTCTAAAAATGTAAAATAGCATTAAATATATATGTATGTATATATATAGTACTATGTTGTAAATTTAATCCAAAAATGTTAACAATTGCATAATTTATAGCATCGTAAAAGTGGAGGCCAATTTTGACTCTAGCGCAGGGATTCTCAACTTTTACACTTTACAGCATAACCATTTGTTGTGATTTATGTTTATAAATGAATAAATACATAAATATAACATAAAAGTATAGAACCATATAAGTATTATGTACTATATACGGTATTGCGATCATTTAATATCATAATGAAATTTTCAAACCGATATTAATGTGACATTTATAACTAATGTGCTTATAGAAATTTGCTTCAATTTTTCAACTAGTACAAAAATTGTATAAAAATTTATTTCTACTCTTAAATATAATACATTTAAACCTATTAAGTATAAACGGAAGTATAATTTGTCCAAAAAATAACGTATAATGTTGATAAACGTAAAATATTGTTTTTCTTTGTAAACTTGTTTCTTCGAATTTACTCATTTTTGCACTAAATCAAAACTGGCCATAAAATGTTTAAACTAATCAAAGTTTTATGACAATCAACTAAATATACAGAGTCTATTACAGAATTAGATAAATAATTATCCTAACGCAGAAACGAATGTTTAAAAAGTGATATTTCAAAATGTTACTGAAGACAATAGTTGTATTTTCCTAGATTTATGGTCCATGATATCTAACACGTTGTTAATAGGTGTTCATTTATTCTTATATTTTTCGATAAGATAAATTTTTTTTTCTTTTACAAGTATGCATTATTATACAATGCACGGGTCGCAGGCCAGAAGCCAATGACTTGTACGGCCGGAGGGCTATGCTATTAAATGATGTTTCAAATAAATCAAATTTAAGAAAATACAGTAAAGATAAACTACCATTATTCTTATTCTTATTATTATACTTAAGAAGGCGCTTATAATGTAAGACATAGCATAATTATAACTTTTCCAATGCGGAAAACATGGTGTGTGTGTGTGTGTGTTAAATGGCTTTACATGTAATTATTTTCATGTAATATTGTTGTTTTATTAGTATTATTTTTTATGACGAAAAATATGTACATTTTTATACGTTTACTGACGTATTAACGAGTCTGAAGACATTTAAATGACGTGATTTAAATTGAGTGGATAACTACTACATGTCTACATAATAAAAAAAACACAGACAGACGCGCGGTTTTTCGCTGCATCTGACCGATTATGCATCACTTTTGTGTAATCTATTTCAGTTTGAGCTGCATCAAAGCCTTTACCTATACTATCTTGGACAGTCGAATAAATAATTAAATTAAAACCTATCGAAATAGTAATTACCAATTGCTTTTATTTTCAGTATGTTAATATTAATCAGCTATCACTCGGTGTGCATTTAAATATATGTAAATCAGTTTATCCGACCATAAACTCTATAAATGTATGCCGACGAACATTATATAATTTATAGGTTCTCACATTGGGCGGCATAAATTTAAACCCCACGACCTAAATTTACAACTGATTGAATCCAAAAATAAATTGACCTATTCAAAAATGTGACCTTATTGAATCCGAAAAATGCATGACCGTTAAATTAAAAAAAAACTCAATTGAATTCCAATACTCGGAACAATAAACTTATAACTATAACTTATAAAAACTGTTCTTAAACTTCGCATCAATAGATTGATGGAATCATGTGTATATTATTGATGAAAATATCAGGCTAACACTACAACACTGTTGCTTGTAACCAAATTGTAGAACAAAGCTATTTTGGATTAAAACTGTGTTTCGGTATATTTTCATAAATCGTTATAACGGATTTTACCGTAAGCATATAATGGGTTAATAATTCGACTAAATTAAATTTGTTAAAAAAATTTTAGCATACAAGTAATTGTACAATTATAAATTACAATTGTAAAATTGAACAATTTTTACGAGTATTTTTTTTTTTTTTTAAGTGTAGACATAATGTTGGATTTAATAATAATTGGCGATTTCGTATTGTTTCATGAATTCATAAAAACTTACAACAACAGTTCTAACAATATATGAACGAATAACGCATTAAAAACGCGTGAGTATTGGTTTCGTACGGCAAATAAGAAAATTGTAAGAAACGTAAGCGACAGTCGAAAAACAATCGCATAAACGTACAACGATAATAAATGTAGGTGCATTATCGGAATCGCTTCGGTCATACATTATGTCGCGGTAATTCATTGCGATTCTCTAGTATTAAACCGAATAACTTCCCCCTTACAACGTACACACAACCGTACAGAGAATTCCACTCGACGCGTGGGTCGCGCCCGACTAATATTATTGTACAAGATATTTTTATACGTAATGTTATTATCATTGTTGTCGCCGTTCTACGCATAATCGTGACTGACCTGGTTCTGCGAATCCGATTATTTCCTTAGTGCGGCCGTAAAAGTCGTCCGGCTCGGAATCGGTGTCCCTGACGGACGGCAACCGTGTACTGGGCGGCAACGTGTTACCGGTGGCCGCGTCCGGGTCGGCCGCAGTGAGCCCGGACAGCGGTTCGACGGCCAGCGCCTCCACCAGGAACCTCGTGGACCGCGCCTTGGTGATATTCGGCTTGGCGGCCATGCCCAGTTTGGACAGTATTTGCTCCTTGATCGCTTCTATCCGCTGCTTGTCCAGGCTCGATCTGGTTGCGTTGTCGTAATGTCGCCGGCCGCGCGGCCGATGCTTCCGCCGGTGGTGGTGCCGGTTCGTGCCGGAATTCGGTGGTGACGAGGGTAGCGACGACGATGGCGACGGGAGCGCGGCGCCAGATGCTCGCTTGCACCACGGACAGTGCTGCTGTTGTCGGCCGCCTGGAAGAAAATCGAATCGTTTCGTTATTGTACGTGTGTAGTGGGGACGATGGACGTGACCAAAACGATCGAGATCGCTAAGATTAGAAAATTCGTAGGACGTTCGGTCGAAAAACGTATAAAATAGGATACGGCTGCAACCTATTGTGTTACAAATAAATAACATACGAGTAATAGCACACTTGAGTGTGTAGGATTAAATGGGCAACACGCATCCGAAGTAGTCTTATATTAAATTATTGTATAGCGATCCAACGGTTCTGAAAACAGTTTTATTCGATACGTTTTAATCCGAAAATGTCGAAACACTATACCCGCCCGACGATTTGGTAATTAAATAGCGCAAAATTAAGTAATACACTAGTACAAATACTACTGCAAAACTAGAAATGCACTAAGCTATACAATGGAAATCGAAAATAAGTAATAAATACAATAATGTCAACAATCAACCATCAATTTGCGAAACTCGATCCGCTGTTAACCTAAATCACTATAATGTATGCTGCAGCTAATGTATACGAATATGATTTATAATAATACTGTTTATGGTATAAAATATCAAATTCAAGTAATCGATAGGGATTATAAAAGTTATTTTGAAAAAATGTATAAGTCCTGTGAGTGCCTTTATTGGGAATAATGTTTTCATTGGATTAGAAGCTGTAACGATGAAACAAATTGAACACACAAAAAGTTCAAGTAAACGGTTTATGGAAAACTTTTAATAACTTTAAAATTGACTGTCACAAACATTTAGTTTTCGAACACTGAAAAGAGATCAAAGTGATCACTTTGTCAAAAGTGATAATTATTACCATAAACTAAATTAAAGTGGAAATGGGTATGATTTATTTTCGAACGATTCTATTTTAATCAATTATTTAGTGACATATTCAAGCACATGATTAAAAACATAAAAATTAACAATAAAAAGAGAATTAGTTTAAAAAAAAAAAAAAAATTTAAAACGATTGATAATAATTTTATAGTTGATATTAAGATAATTTTCTATTTCTATATCTAATAAGTAAAAATTACAAGCAGTATTGAGTGATAAATAATTATCTCTTCCTAGTTATAAACTATAACAGTGAAATACCCGCAGTGATAGTTAAGACCCTTTGTATTTGAATTTTAAATCATCAAAAAACGATAATTTGCAAATATTTCCAGAAGTATTGCTTAATTTCATATATTTTTTTACTGAAATTAAAAATCCAGCCTTGCTGAGAAGAAAATAACACAGGTATATGATAAAAAGTAATCATTTCAATTTATATTGTATTTTTTTAATTCAAACCATATTTAATCTATTCAAAAATACTAAAAATAGTCTGATAAAATATTAATCGATGCAAATATTGACGTTAGAACTTTAATCAAAGTCTCAGGATTGAAATAATTTTTTTATTTTATTATAGCAAAATGACGAGTGATATTTGAGAATAAAAAAGAAGGTGAATGAAACCATTTATTTATCTGAACATTAATTTTAACATCTTTATACCATCCACTCAAAAACTTTATTTGGATATAGCTTAACTACATGTTCAAAATTGGATTGTGATACCCTAAATGGTTCATAAAAATAAGTTTAACTATAATATGCAGTCAAAATTAGATGTTTCTATTTCGAAAATAAAATTTGGTATTGCCACAGAACATTATCTTATAGCAATTAAGCTTTGTAAGTATTAAAACAAATTTACTGAGTTCAAAACTTTAAATAAAATACTTAAATCATTCCAGTAGTTAAATAATAAACACCATGGAATTATTTTGAAAAGTTTTTAGTATTTTTTAAAAATCATTCCATTTATGATACCAATATCTTTTATCAATGTAAAAATGATTTTTTTCATACAGAAAATATAAATTTGATTTTATCGTATATATATATATTAAAATTCAAATCGTTTATTAACATGAATATAATTAAAAATATTTTTATAACTAAATAATGTACAACTATTTTGTACCTTATGGAATTATGTTGACAAAACACATGGTTTATAAAATGATATTTTCATGTTAATATGTTAATTATAAATAATTATGAATGCATTTACTTGATACATTAACACGTTTATAAAAATTAAAACAGTAAATGTCATACATTACATTTTTAGTATTAAAAATAAAGCTTGGTTAGTTCGAAATGTGCAATGTAAATAGTACCTGGAATTCTGTTTTAAGATTGAGATGTTTTTTTTATATAATTCAAAATACACCGCATTAACACTGTTAATTGGATCCATTAATGGTCTTATAACACGAACATTAAAATACCGGTTTCAGTCTAATACGATTCTAAAAATAATGAATGGAATCACACAATTTAACTTAGAATTGGTCAATTATAATAATTTATATACATCTTTATAACATTTTAAACAAGTTATTTACGTTTACACTCGTGAAATGAGTTATCAAAACAGAATCTCTGTAAGAAATCATTAACGAAAATAAAAATTATAAAAATAAGTCATTTGTATATTCGTAAAAAAATGTTTAAAAAACGATTATATTGAATTTACACGATTTAATATCATATATCTGATATCTGTACTTTTCTTCTTTTCTTACTTTAATTATAATTGTGTTTGATTTGACTCTTACCAATAAAAAAGTAGATAATTTTTTATATCAGTTGCTTTTTATTTGATAATATAAAATTACTTGAATGTTACACCAACGCAATAATATTAATACATTTTTGTTCGAGAACCAGCGGATTCTTTATGAAGCTTTGTGTACGTAATATAACATGATATAGCACCGTTGTTATTTTTTTCCACCAGCAATATAATTAATTCGAAATTCAGCAATGAAATAGGGAAACTATTAAAATGTAATGGATTATATTAATGTAATACGTGAAGCATTAGTGAACGTACTTAATTCGATCATAAATAAACGATATCCATTTGTTTATAACTTATTTAATTCGCTATTAGGGAAGTTTCGTCGTTAAGTAAAATTTTTTAGAAAAAAAGAGACACTCAAAATAATAAGATGGTGACTAATTCATTCCATGAATATAGATTTCTCACGGTTATAATTTTATCATCTTTTTTTTATTAGTGTTTTCTTTTTTTTTTTTTTTTGACTAGTGAGTAATTTTGTGTTTTCAATAAACCGGCTTCGGACGTTTCGTTATCTTTTTTGTTATACTGTTTTAACTGTAGGATAACATCATTAAAATCTCAAAACAAAATTAACAACTTTGAATTCAAAAAGTTTTTTGGAACGCAATAACAAAAATTTCTTAGAAACAAGAGGAAAAAATAAATCTATAAAACGAGCTAATATCATTCGTAAAAGCTAATAGGTCAACAACATGATGATAAATATTGTAGGTACCGCACTACAGTATGCATGTGAATGAATTATTGATTTTAAGGTCATTTTTCAAGGTTTTTCAAAATTGCGTTGCATTAGACAATAATTTGCTCAACTTAAATCAAAATCAAAGTGTACATAAATGTATATGAATATATAATATTAATTTTGCAGTTAAACATTTTAGCATTATATATGCAATATAACGTTATACATGACAGTAAACTATGATTTCTTTGTAACCGGATTAATGTATTATCAAAATAATATATGCTGACTAAAATTGTTTTATAAATAAAATGCTCGGTATTCTATTTGCAGGAAAAAAGTGATACTTATTCCTTTATTCCTATTATTTGTTTTTAAAATATTATTTATCATTCCGTTCTTGTACATTAAATTTAAATCAATCAAAACTCCATCTTTCAAATAAGACATGTTACAGGAACGTTGTTTCAAATCATTATTGCATTTATAAATACATAATATTGAACAATTTCAATAAAAGATTCACAAGATACTTCAACTATAGAATTAAATTTTTAGGATTGCAACAATTTATTTATTTTGTGATAGCACTCTTATGTAACTATTAATTATGTGAGCTCAATGTCATTATTTAAATAGGAGATGAATACTGGAATTATGGATGATGAACCAAAGAAAAAAAAAGAATACTGGAACTATTTATGAGTATAATTCGATTAAAATTATCTTCAAATTGATACTTCAGATAATTTAATTTTTACTTTTTAATTTTAATTTTAATTTTTTGAATAACCGAATACAGAAAAAACAGTATCATTTACAACACACTCTATAAAAATAAAATTTAGTTATTATATTAAAGTTTAGAAAATGATTGTATTTTGTTAATGCAACATTTCCAACTAGTATAGGTAGAACTGCGGTTAAAGTTTGGTAACAATAAGAAACTATACGATATTGTATTAAGACACGACGTATATGAAAGTGCGTATTATTGCAACGACAATTTAGCGGTAAGGTGTTTTGCTTAGTATATAAATTATAATTATTACTATTATTATTATTTACAGCATGGTCTAAAGTGCATCATGAGTATACACATAAAAAATACTATCATATGCATTATACATGATATTATAGAATAGAAGTAGCCAACTGGTTATTGATTCGGACATCCAATGGGTCATTGCATTTTTATTGCGTGCATACCACAACGATCAATGCACATAAAACGCGACCGCACGCACTTTATCACAAACAACACACACACTATTTGCCTTAGCTGTCTCATCATTGCAATACATGCACTCGTCGAATTTTATTCATCGTTTGCATCTTTCGAACGCGTGCGACAACAGACTCAACTGTTCATTATAATAGGTATAGAGGATTAATTTACATATTTTGTTTTAGTTGCATCCGAATTGGGTCCTGAATTTAAAATTACGACACTAGTTGGGTCCCGAATTATTTTAGGTACTACACTAGTTAGGTCCCGAATTATTTTAGGTAGGTACTACACTAGTTGGGTCCCGGATTTTATAAGTACTTCACTAGTTTCTGAATATTTTTTAGTAAGTACTATATTATATTAACATTTTCCTTCCCATTTTAACAGACTTAGGACTGTCTATGATCTATTTAGATAACAGGTATGGTTAAAAATG